CACTGTTGCCATAGTATCTATTTGTATGAACATCAGGAAATAAGCCCTTGGTTGGTAGTGTGAAGAGAGTAGAATGGTGGTTGCTAGAGACTGGAGAGTGGGGTGGGAAAAAGTGTTCAAAGTATACAAAGTTTCAATATTTTGTGGGATAAATAAATTCTACAGTTCTCCTGTACAGCATGGTGACTATAGTTACAGTGCATTGTATGCTTGAAATTTGCTAAAAGAGTAGAACTTACAATGTTCTCACAACAAAAATATAACTTGATATATCTATCAGACTGTGATAATCGTTTCATTAAGTACCTGTATATTAGAACTAAAAGTTTTATATTATAAATACATATAATATTTGTCAATTATATCCCAATAACACTGGAGAGAACTATTTCTTTTCTTTTCTTTTTTTTTTGGTTTAGCTCCTGATACAGTTGTAAACCACGAATATATATTTTTTATTGCAGTCACTGTTATGTCCACTAGTTCTTAGCAGTCTCTGGTCAACTCAACAAGGTACAACCTGCCAGAGTTTCACCTCAGCCTTGAATATGCACCTCCTCCCTTCCACCTGGGGTTTCTCCTTTGGTGCTGTATCATGGGGACCATGGGAATCCACTGAATATTCGCTTACAGGCAACATAGTAGTGGCAGGAGTTGGTGCCCTGTGGGGCAATTCTTTACTACCAGGGTATAAGAGGGAAAACGACTTCTCCTTTCTTTTCAAAAGGAAGAAAATTCTGAGACAAATTTTAGGCAATCTTGCAATATGCATCAACAGTTGCCTTTTGGATGGACAACTCTATCATGCATTATTTTTTGGATTTCTCTTTTCCCTGCTTCAGTTCTACTATCCCTCACATCTGGTCACTGGATTTGAGCTCCAGAAGAGTAGCACATAGGCTTTGGTTTAAGGGGAACCAGGGGAAGACACAGACTGTGCTTTGGCAATCAAAACTCTTATAATGTCAGAGTTCATCTCACTGTTTCTTCCCTCTATATTGTCCCTATGCTTCTCCATTTACTTTCCTCAACCCCAGACTGGCCTCATTTTAAATATTACCTGCTCATGAATCTCTCCCTAGTTCTTATGGTAACGCTACTTCTCCCTCCTCTGTGGCCACTATACCTCATAAATCTGTCTGTGGGGGGCACTGAAGATTCAATATTAATAAATTTTGTTTTATATCTGATATCCACTATCATTTATTTTTGCTTTTCCTTCATGTTTCAGGATGTTGAACATTATAAATGATTCCTGAATGTTTATTATTGAATGATATTAAGAAGTGGATAAGGGCTGGGGAGGTAGCCCCATGGTAGAACATTGCCCTAGCATGGGTAAGGTCCTGTGTTTGATCCTCAGCACAACAAAATGAACTTTGACATCAGGGAGGAGAATTGGTGATTACTGTTGAAAAGAATCTCCAATTTGTGATGCTGGTAGAATCTGGTTGTAAATATATATTGAGTGTAAATCTTAAAAAAAAAAAAAAAAAGCTAGGGAAATTTTTGTCCTCAGAAACAAATTTAAGTTTTTCTTTTATTTCTGACCAACCCAGTCTGGGATAAATGATGTGTTAATTAGAGATAGGGGCTAGATAAAATTACTGGGGGATGGGAGCTGTTCTATTAATTGGGCAACCTTGACTGTGGCTCTCAAAGGGAATTGGCTACCTAAATGGGTGCCCTCCACTGACCAGGCCAACATAAACATGGCTGGGAACACGGCAGTGTTTTTATGGTCCTCAGTCCCTAGAGACGCTGTTTTACTGGGAAAGATATTCTCATTATAGTGACCACTTGCCTGAGACTCCCAATTTCAGAGGCCTCTCACAGCACAGGCTGCCTCGGGCCATCTCTGTGAGCTGACTCAGCCTCCCAGGCACCCAGAAATCCTCTTACCAGGAAACCCTTCCAGAAAATGGGAGCAGACATGCACTCTCCCAGGACCCTGGTCTGTGTGAAAGAGGAGTAAGCAGTGGCCATTACTTCTTCCATAAGATTGCCACCTTCTGCAATGCAAACACATTTTCCTGGGAAAACTTTAGGAATTGGTCTTCTTATTAGCTTCTTCCTCCAGTGCACAAATCAGTCCTTTCAATTCTATTTGAAACTCATCTCTCTCACTCGCTGTGCTCTCCTCTTTTTTCCCAACCCCCAACCTTAGTCCTGGTGCTGGTGAGAGATAGATGATAGATAAGATGAGATGATAAGATAAGACAGGACAAGACAAGACAGAATTCAGTTCTTAAATTCTAAGCTCCCTGCTTATGTCATCAAGTGAGTTCTTTGAATATTTTAAGAAAATCTGTGTAGCTTTCTTGTCACAGTTCCAATGCTCATTCATAGCCCTTTGACATCCCTGAGAGGCTGAGATTTTTGCCTGCTCCAAGGTAATAATAATAAGTATTTTTTGAGTTCATACTATGTGCTAAATACTGTGCTAAGTAAGTATTATCCATGGGTTATTGCACATAATTCTCACAAAAGCACTGAGAGGTAGATACCTCTTTCTTTCTTAGAAACGAGGGAAACAAGTCTCACAGAGAGTGAATTGACAGGGTGAGTCACAGAACATCTGCTCTTTCTATTGCCCCAAGCTTCCTTTTAGAGAGTCTATGAATATCTCCCAGGTGGAAAATCCCAGTCTCTGGGAGCAACGTTGAAGTTTAGAAACAACCATAATTGGCAGGAACAGTGGGTAGGAGATCAAGTTGAGAAATGCCATATTTGGGCAAATAGCAGGTGTAACCACAGGGAAGAGGGCTGGCTCTTTCTCCTGTGGGCCAGGGGGCAGTTCCAAGGAGGCCTAGGAGTGTCAGTCTTGCAGGGCCTTGGAATTATCTGGGGATTCTTAATGGTATTCAGAATATATCATATACATTCTTATATATACCATATATATATATATATATATATATATATATATATGATATATATATATATATATATATATATATATATAAATGGGGCTGGGAATTAGAGATTATCTGATTCAGGCACCATATTAATCCAAAGAGATTGTATAAATTACATAAAATCACCCACGGAGTGGCAGAACAGAAAGATAGCTCAGAGCTCACAAACCCCATCTCACAGCTCCTCATGCAGAGTCCAGGGTAGGCTAAGCTTCTGTCCCTCTCCAGATCTCTCTGGTCCTGTTCCAAGGGCACACAATATGGGGTAGGAGACTAGGTAGTTCTTCAAAAGCAACTGGATTCAAGGTCTGAGAGTCACAATACTGTATTGTATATTTAAAAATCTGTCAAGAGAGTAGATCTTATGTTAAATGCTTTTACCACAGAAGGAAAACGACGAGGATGATGAAGGGAGCAGGAGGAAACTTGGAGGTGATAAATTTACTGTGTTGATTGTGGCGATAGTTTCAGGAGTGTGGGCTCATATCCAAATGCATGAAGTTGTATACATTAAATCTCTACAGCTTTTCGTATGTCAATCCATGCCTGCCTGATGAGGCTAATAAAGTGTGAAAGAGAAGACTCCAATATCAAAAAGACCTGGCTTCAAGTCTGGACTCTGCATTTTACTACTGAGTGACTTTGAAAAAATTATAATTCCTTTGTGCCTTAACTTACTAGTTGGCTATAAGAGTAAGAAGTGATGGACAAATGCTCTCACTTTCCTTTTAGATAGACATTTCCCTAACACATCTTTTTTCTTTACAGAAGTCCTGAGAGAGCCAAGTACCCACTGTTCAGGGCTGCAACCTTGGTAATAGGTTTAGAAGATGTGAGTCCATGTAGAGTTGGTGATCAGTCTGTCCTTGGTCTTGAGACACATGATTTGGACATACTAACATTACAAAATTTTGAGCTTGAATAGATAGCTTGTGATGTCTATTGAATATTGAATTTGCACAGTTAATCTGTTTTATGTTTGACATAACATAGTACAGATGGCTTCTCTTTCAATTTTCAGTTCTCCTTTCATGGCTTGGCTGGCCACAAGGATGATCTTTTTCCTTTTTTCAATTCATATATCTCTTTTATTCAGGGTTTTTCAGAGAAGTAGAACTCATAGGATGGATGGATAAACAGATAGAAACAGAAACAGAGAAATGGAGAGAGAAAGAGAGGCTTATGTTGAGGAACTGGCTTACATGTTCATGGAGGCTATTAAATCCCAAACCTGCAGGGTGGGCAGACAGATTCAAGGAAGTGTCAGCACTACAGTTTAAAGGTTACGGCTGTGTCTGCTGCAGAATTCCCTATTGCCTAGAGGAGATCCATCTTCTGTCTCCGAGGACCCTCAACTGATTGGATGTGGTACACCCACATTATGGAGGGTGATCTGCTTACCTCAAAGTCCATCAATTTACATGTTAATGACATCCAAAAACATTCTCATGGAAATAACTAAAAATGCATCTGACCAAAATGTCTGACTCTATGACCTTGGCAAGCTGTTACACAACATTCACCATCACAAGGTCATATGATTGTCCCATACACGTAATCACTGCTTAAATATTTGAGTTAGAAAAAACTTGCTAACTTATTACCTAATATTAGTGGATGGATATATAAAATGAACTTGGAATTTTTTTCTATTTCTGTATTTTTACCTCAGAAATGAAGCTTATTATAAAGTTATAGGCAGAAAAAGATGAGCTGAGAACGTGGGTGATTTGCCCAAGTATACACAGTAACAGGAACACTTTCTGTCCCCCTTTTATTGATTTGTTTTTAGGCTATATGCAGATATAAATATATTTAGTGTCCTTCATGATGGGATTTGAAGCCTGGAAATATTCCTACTGAAATCATGGGCCAATTACAACATTAGTAGTCCTGCTATTAAAACTTTGTTACTTTGGAATAAATACCATCCTTTCAGAAATAATATTTTCCTCAATCCAATAAAGCCAAAATAAAATTATTTCAATATGTTCTTGACATAAAATTAATAATGAAATATTTTCCATTAAGTTTTGAAGATTTTTTATTGTGGTAAAATATAGATAATATAAAAGTCACCATTTAAGTAATTGAGCATACAATTCAATAGCATCAAGTATATTAACACTGCTTTGCAACCATCACCACTATCCATTTCCAGAGCTTTTTAACATCTCAAACTGAAACTCTGTAACTTCCCAAGCTCACATAGGCCTAGCAATTGTATTCATTCCAGTTTCAACTACTCATTAGAGTTTCTAATCCATACAATGAGAATATTCTACCTTGAAATAAAATGCATTTAACATCTTTACAGTTCTGCAAACAATACATGTCAGGGACCCTTGTACTGATGGAAAAGACTGGAGACTCTCACATATTTCCAAATATTAATTTATAGGATTCTATAAAAATAAAGTATCAAGCATAACAAAATTTAAATTATTTTCTGACACCTATATTAAAACTCAGTATCATTTAAAATATTGGACAGATACAGGACACACTAAAAAAGGGAAGACATGATCCAAGAGATATAAGATATGAATGAGACAAATAGACAAAACCATTCTCCTTTAGCCTGGAAAAAAGTAAGCTATCAGATCATGGCTACTAAACATGAAGCGTGAACTAACCTGGTTCTGTCACCCTCAACCAGGACAGGGTTATCTCTCAGGCACAAAAAACAAAGATAACCATCTTAGTACATAGCAGAGAGAAAACAGGGTTTGCATAGGCAGAGGAAATAAATGGCAGATGTTAAACAGGAAGCAATATAAATGGCAGTTAAGTAACTGGATTCAATTATCAAATTTAATTTCAAACCTTGGCACAGCACACAAAAGCTACGTGATTAGTTAAGTCACTTTGCTATTATAAGCTTCATTTCTATCACCTGTAATGAGTAGACAAAAATGGTACCAACCCCATAAAGCTGTGAGGATGACAAAAAAGCTATAAAGCACTTATCATAGTGACTGGAACATTGTAAGAACACAAGATAAGTGCATAAACACTATTATTAAGGGCTTGGATAAATTCCCAGGTAGTACATTATAAACCAACAGTGGGGACTGTGGCAAGCCCTGGCTTCCATAAATTGTCAGTTTAATTTCCCCCATTAAAAAAAAAAAAAACTGTACATGTCAACTAAACAATAACTACATGACAAAAAGTTTAAAAAGCAGGAATAAAACTAAATCATCAATCATTTGTATACATTTCCTCCAAGGCATAGGCTGTTTTTCAACCTAGTTTCAATCAAATATCCTTATTATTTTAGTTAATATTATAATGTTTCATTTTTATAGTCTTTTAACCAGATAATATTCCATTAATATGGATTATCCTACTTATTATTCCATGAAGCGACTAGACTGTAGTTTACTATTCCAGCTGGAGAAAAGCACTGATATGTTTACAGGCAACTAGAATTAAATTAGTGTTATGAAATAATTATATTAAACCAGTAAGGATAAGGGGAATTAGGATGGCAAGGGTCACCTATGTTCCACAGCTTGAATGTCCTTGTCACAACTGATCTTGAGCATAGCCAGCACCCGTGTTCTGATCTGCTTGGTCTTGGCACCATAGATGATGGGATTGATTACAGGAGGCAGCAGCAGGTAGACATCCCCCATGAGAACATGCACGATGGGATCAAGGCTGTTTCCAAAGCGGTGCACCACCGAGAGGCCGATGAGTGGCACATAGAAGGCCAGGACCACACCAATGTGTGATACACAGGTCCCAAAGGCTTTGGCCCTTTCTGACTTGGACGGCAGTTGCAGAACTGTTCGTATAATCAGAAAGTAGGACAAGGAGATGAACATGACATCCACGCCCATGACCAGGAGAATGGCAGTAAGACCGTAGACCATATTGGGCAATGTGTCTGCATAGGCCAACTTCATCATATCCTGGTGCACACAGTAGGAGTGTGAGAGCACATTGGAGTGGCAGAAGCCCAGCCGCTTGATGAGTAGTGGCAGTGGGAAAAAGAAGAGGGATCCGCGGATCACAGCCACCATGCCAATCTGGGCTGTTACTGTATTATTGAGCACTGCAGCATGGCGCAGTGGGTGACAGATGGCCACATAACGGTCAAAGGCCATGGCCAGTAGGATGGTGGATTCAATGGCTGAGAGAGCATGAATGAAGAACATCTGGACAAGGCAGGCATCAAAAGAAATCTCCCGGGAGTCAAACCAGAAGAGGGCAAGGATCTTGGGCATGGTGGATGTGGACAAGGCCAGGTCAATGGCTGCCAGCATGCAGAGAAAGAGGTACATGGGAGCATGCAGTCTGCGCTCTGTTCTTACAATAAAGACTATGATGCAGTTTCCAAACAAGGCCACGGCGTACATTGAAAGCAGGGGGAAGCCGAACCAGAAATGGGCTTCCTCTAGTCCTGGGATACCAATAAGTACAAAGGTGGCATGTGTGAAGTTGCAGGAACTCATAGCTGGCACTGAGGAGGGGGAACTGCAGAGGTCCCACTGGCAGCCTGTTAAGACATAAGCACAATCAGAGAGTCCCCTGGAAACCTGGGAGTGAGTACTTATAGCTTTCCTTCCCTTCTGTTTCCCACCACCACTTAAGCTCTTTTTTAAGCTCCAAGTCCCTCTTTTCCAAAGGAAGGACTGTGACAGCTCAAATTCTTTGATTATTCACTGCCCTCCAGGAAGATTTAAATTTTTGAAAGGGGACCCAGGGAGACAGATGATTATCCCTAAATGAAGAATTCCCAAATTTTCTCAGGTTTTTCCTCTGGCCCAAACCTTCATTGTCTGAGAAGGAGGTGGCTTTTTTTTTTTTTTAAATTAGGTACACTCCTTTTAGGTAAACCTATCTTCTTTCCCTCCCTCTCTCTGCCTCTCCCTCCACTCTTTTTTTCCCTCTCTCCCTTCCTTTCTTTCTTCCTTATATTTATTTTGTATTCCATAAGCATTTCTTGTATGATATATTATTCAGCTTTTTGTCACTGGGACAAAATAACCAGAGAAAATCAATTTAAAGGAGGAGACATTTATTTTGGCTTATGGCATCAGAAGTTTCAGTTCATGGTCAACTGACTTTTTTGCTGTGGGCTTACAGCGAGGCAGGAAATCATGGCAGAGAGGGTGTAGTGGAGTAGAGTTTCTCATCTCATGGTGTCTGGAAAGCAAAAAGAGAGAGAGAGAGAGAGAGAGAGAGAGAGAGAGAGAGAGAGAGAGAGAGAGAGAAGAACAAAGGATAGGACCTACTACTCTTCCAGGGCATTCGCCCTCAGTGACCAGCGTCCTTATAATCCAATCATTTCCTAAAAGCCTCACCTTTAAACAGCACTTCATTGAAAACCAAGGCTTCAACACACGGTTATGTTGATTTAGAGATGAAAAACATTTTCCTTGCCTTCTACATGGCTTGCTTTGGGTGGAAGACAGACAAACAATCAATGAATTTGAGTATTATGATAAATGCTAGCATAAGGTACACATTTAATGCATTGGAAGGGGAGAGGCATGATCAGAGGAACCTTCCTGGAAAAAATGATTCTTTTGTTCAGTCTTGAAACACGAGAGAAAGTTAGAGAAGGGAGTAAAAGCAAGGCAGTGGAGATAGGAAACACCACAGGTTTTCTAGGTAAATAGTTGGTCCTTAGTTCTAAGATCAGCAAGTGGGAAAACAAATGCAATTGCAATGGAAAAATAAGAAAAAGAAAACAAACCACAGGTAAGAGAAAAAGGCCTAAAGTCAATCTCTTAAGAAAAAAACAAAACTCATCTGGAATTGTAAAATCAAAGGTAGTTACTTCCTGTGATAACTTCTTCACCCCAAGGTCACCTCCAGCAGATCCTAGAATATTCCCTGTGCAGACTCTTCACTCTGCTCCTGGCTGTTAGATACCACCCAACCTGAAAGGTGCCTCTAAGCCATTCCCACTTCCCCCAAAGAGAGCTTGGTTTGAGTCCTGATTTTGGAAGTCCTGATTTTACAATGATATTTTGAGATCTTTGTCTTTCCTAGAACCTGTCTCAACAAATTGCTCATGTCAAGGATGACATTTCATTTTTGGAAGCTCTATGTTGCTTTGTCCCAACCTCCTACTCCACTCAAACACCTGGGCTCTGACCTTATTAATCTTTTTCTCTGCTACATTCCTTTAGTACCAGGCCTTAAGAGGTAATTGTCTCTAAAAAGCCATTTTAGAAGGATGCTCTGACTCTTGGAAATCAATTCTTCAGGTGTTTCCACTGACAGTATTCAGGTTTTCATGTGATCCCTCACAGGATTTTTTATGTCTAACCTGGGTTTTTATTGCAGCTGGGAGATACCCTTCAATACGCCTTAATGGAGAGGGGTTTAGAGACCAGCAGTCTTGAAATATGATATGATAAAGTGAGTACTAACAGCTTTGAATTGGATTCTCCCCATCTTGGATGAGCAAGGGCAAACAGATCCAGGGTTCACGTCTATTTTCTCTTCTCCATGTTTAGAATTTGTACAGAGGCACAATAGCTTCTCTTTCTAGACAAATATCAAATACCAATTATTCTACCAGTGCTATTGAAACACAAAGAGCACTTTTCAGAGGCAAACAATTATATTCTTCAGGGAGACAGAAGAGCTGGTATCTTGGATCCATCCATCTATGTCTCCATCATAAAGAACTTGTGGAGGGAGGTAGTAATTCAAACAAATCATGCTGAACAATGTGGGACAGAGCTAAGGAACCTTTCCTGGAGAAAGGCCAGGTCACTAGGCCACTGTCCCCAAGAGCAATGGGGCCCAGGGTGAAGAGTAGTCCATCATGGAGGGGTATCAAGGAGAGCATGATATTTCCCTGTGCTGACAGACGCAGGGCCTCTGCTGGCCACAGGATCCTGTACTTCCTTAACCCCTCTCTTCACATAACACCTTTTCTGCTTTGCTGGTACATGTACTTCCTTACTGAATTCCAGAAACTCTGGCCAATCATCTTGTCTCCCAATGTCCCTATCCAAGAAGACCTCATGTTTTCTTGCTTCCTGCCTGAAGTGTCTCCTTGCTATACCCAGCTCCAGCTTCTCTTTGGATCTGAATGTGACAGCTAGGTTCATTCTCACCTGCCTTTCTGGACTGGCAGCTAAGGGACTTTTTAAGTCCATGAAGGTGTGGGTGGGTTACAAGTGTTGTCCTATCATGAACCTGTTTGTGGGAGCTTCAAGGTCTGTGAGACTGGCAGGAGCCTCAGTTTGTCAGGCTCCAGGTGAGGATATACTCACCTGAGAATGGTGAGTCCAATTCAGAGAAAGCAGCTGGAGCTGGCCTTCTATTTCTGTAACAGGCTTTTTTTTTTATAACGCTCCCTGGAAGGCCCATGGGAACAGGCTGTGGGAGTAGGAGCTGAGGCCCCAGGGACTTGGCAGCAGAGGAATAAAATCTCCATGTCCACTGTGTGCCACTCTCATGGCTTCCCACTGTTTCTTTCTAGGGGGGCAATCTCAAAGGGCTCCTTTCCTCCGCCATTGCCATCACACTGACACACACAGGTCTCTTGACAATGTGGCCTGACTCTTTCAGCCAACCCAAGCTCTCACAGTTAGCCCCAGGGGTAGTGTGTTTCTTCATTAGCCACTCTGCAGGACACGACAGGCAAATGGGTGAACAGTTATGGTCCTTGGGCTCTTGAAATTCACATCTTCTTTAAAAACCAAGATGGGTACACAAAAAAGAAGCCCTACAATTCAAAATAGGGTCATGCGCATCTCCATATGTTTCCTCAGTTTCTCTTTCAGTTGAAAAACAGCCTTTGAGGTAGTGAAATCTTTCCTTATTGCACCTGTGTCATAGATAAATGACAGATGCAATAAGAACTCTTTGCTGTAGGTTACAGTGTTTACAATGATTGGAGAAATCTATATGCAGACTTTTCATTCATTCACATTCAACAAATATTTGTCAAGTGCCTATAATATCATAAGCAAAATAGACAAAAAATCCCCACCTTATGGAGTGTACATTCTGATGAGGGAGGCAGACAATAAAGAAATTAATACATAAACTAAATAAGATGTTAGGTTTTCATAAGAAGAACAAATATCAGGGAGAAGGGAACAGATAACTATCAGGGGGAAGAAGTTGAACTTCAGATGAAGTTGCCAAGGAAGGCCTCACATAATGGAGTGATCTGAGGAGAGGCCCAAGAAGTGAGGAATATATCTATGGATATACAGGGAAGACCATTCCAAGAAGAAGGAACAGATATTACAAGTAAAATCCTTGAGGAGGGAGTGTTTCTGGTAGAAAGCCATTGCTCCTAAGCAGAGAGAATAGGTAGAAAGTAGAAGGGATGAATCGAGGGTTCTGGGAATTGGGCCATATTGGGCCTTAAGGACTTACAGGCCATTTAAGGACTTTCACTTAGCCTTTGAGTGTGCTGAGGGTCTATGTGAAAAATTTACAGAAAGATTTATAAAAAAGGATCTGAAGTGAGTTAGACTTTAAATTTTATCAGAATGGTTTTCTCTAATTGCCCTCTAGACTCATTTGCCTTGGTATGTCATTGCCCATTCTGATCTTTCTTTCCTCATTTCCTTTTTGTGACTTCTTCATGCTTTGAGCCTTTACGACCTAGCTCCAGCAAGCATCCCCAGGCCCTCTGACCCCCTGATCTTTATCCTCCAATGACATATGCTCTGCATCACATGCAACAGTGTTATCTTTGTATTTTATGTAGTACTTTATCCCCCAGCCTCTCCACACTTAGAGAGCTAAGCACATTAGTCTACACTTATCATTTCACTGCAATCTCTGAAAAGAGGAACAGAAATACTTTCTTATCAATCAGACACCAAGAGTTTCTTATTATTCACCTGTATCTGGCCTTGGAGTTTATTCATTGTGTAATAAACATTTCCTTAGTAATATCTTATGTGGGTACCATTGCTGTGCTTAGGTGCTGCAGAGGTAAATAAGATTAAGTCCTTGCTTTAAATGTGTTCACAGATATTGATGCAATCTAAGATGGGATGTATTTACAAATTTAGTTAAGAAAAATGAAAACTTAAATTACACAATTTTCTTCATTCCTCACATCTAATTCTTAAACTAATCTTGTCTAAATTTTCTAATAACCTATCGAATGTTTGCTTTTATTCTCATTTTTACCCCCACAACTGTGTTCAAGTAGCTGTAACAGTGGCCTGTGACTGCTACTGCTCTGGCTTCTGGGTCCCTGCACACTGTGAGCTTGTCCGTCCTGGTTGAAGCATGGCGTTTTCTCTGCAGCTCACCCATTCCGCAAACATCCAACTTGCTCACTTCTTAGTGATGAAAGCTCACCATTTTCCAGGATTGGATTGCTAGACAGTAGGGCTGCGTACAGGTTAGTGCATAGGAGGGGAGGTGCTGGGTTGGGGGGAAATCTGTGGAAGTGGTGTGAACAGTCAGATGTTTGGTTCTTGAGAATGAAATTCCTTCTTTTTCTCCTTTTTTTAGGACTCTGAGTACCTCAATGCTTCTCCAGCCCACATCATTCCTTTTCCTTCCCCACTTTCTCCACACCCCACTTTATGTATTGTGTGGAAACAATTAAACAAAAATCTAGTGTCTCATCCTATGTCATTTGAGCTCTTCTACTTTCCATCCTGGACCTTCTATAGCTTTTTGGGGTGTGTGTAATGAGGATGATCTATAGGGTACAGGTGAGGGAACAGAAAAGGATAGAAATAAACAGAAACTGGCTATTGATTCAAAATATAAATCACCTCTTTAAAATGGCCTTCTCACTTTTATGTTTTTATCAGCACTCATTAATGACTAGATAAGGTGTGTTGGAGAGAGGAAGAACTAAGGCTGTATGGCATGAGGGCAAGCTTACATGAAGCTACATGAATCATGGTGAAACTTTCATATTGAAGGGGGCATCTCCTACTGTCACCTTCAAAATATGGAGCTCCATGAAAATTTATCTGTAGACACTAAGAATATTGGAGAGATTTGTTATCTTCTTGTGTGCCCTCCAAAGCCTTATGTTCCTTTTAAGATGTAGTTTGTTTATTCATTAATCCAACCAAGATTAAAAGCTACTGTGGGACCGTCACTGTGGATAGAAATGTAGGAACAGCAATGACTATGACTCAGTTCCTTGTCTTGAAAAGTGAGCTCAGAGCCTGCTGTGGGAAGAAAGGATACTGGAGAGTCTGAAGAGGATTGTCAAGAAGCACAAAGTGTTACAGGGGTACCTGGGAGGACACCATGAAGACAGAAGGGGTCAGTAAAGGCTTTGAAATAGGATCACCTCTCCTGTAAATCAGAGGGAAGGAGACAGAGTGCTATCGGTAGAGGTAACAGTTTGTGCAAAGGCTTGAAGGTGACAGCAGTCACTCAGGATTAAGGAAATGCAGGGTGTTCATTGTGCCTGGAGCATTATGCAGAGGAGAAGCAGTGAAACTTGAGAGGTCAATAGAGTCAGTCATTGAAACATATTATTATTTTTACTATGTGTCAAATCCTTGGAAGATAGCATGTATGAAATAATTCCTTATCCTTAACAAACCTTATTTCTGATGAGGAAACCAGAAAAAAACCATATATTAATATTAACATGTTGGTCTGTAAAAGTGCTAAAAATTAAAAATAGCAGGTAAGAATGAGAGTGGATACAAGGCATGAATTGAGGGAAAGGTGGTGGTGTTATTATTTTCATACCATCAAGAATCCTGCAATAAGGCACTCGAACAGGGAAGGGACCTGCATGAAGTGAGGAGGTCAGCCATGTGGGTTTATGAGGGAAGAACATTCCAGGCAGGGAGAATAGTAAGTGTGAAATGTGATGATGAAACCTGCTTGATGAACTAAAAAAAAAAAAAAAATTCAGATTAGTGTGGGTATAGTAGGATTAGTCAAGTAACAGGGGATGGAGTTGGTTGGGATGGTGGGGGAAGTCAGATCAGACAGATTGCTCATGAACTATTACTGTGAATTTTCCACAGATAAAACAAGAGGCCACTGGAACATGCTGAACAGAGAAAGTAACAAGATCTGCCTGTGTATTAAAACAAGCACTCTGGTATGATTGCTATTAAACCCCATGCTGCTGTGATGGGAAATGGGCTATCAAGCAAGGATGGATGAAAGAAGACCCTCTATGAAGCTATACACAAATGACTTCAGGTCCAAGATGATGGCTGGCATTGTGATGGTAGCAGTAGAAGTGATGTAAGGGAGTGAATTTTTGACTTGCTGATAGGTTGGTTTTAGAATAAAAGTGAAAGAGAGGCATTCGGGTAATTCTTGGTTAGGGACGACTGGATGAGCCTGTGTTTTCCTTGATGGGAATAGTAGGATTTTGTACATGTTGAGTCTAAGAATTTTGAGACATTTTAGTATAGATATTGATGCATAGGCAATTGGGTGAGTGTGGAATATAAATACTAACTTGGGTTTTGTCAGGATATGGGTGATATTTAAAGTCATGATGTTAGGTGAAATGGGAGTAGGACAAAGGGAAAAGAAAAAGGTCTGAGGAAAAAATACCAAGGTATTCTAACATATGAAAATGAAGACTAATGACAACCAAGATGAAAATATTATTGTACACATGTTGAGAATTCTTACATCACCCTTATTATTAAGTAGCCAGTACTGTAGTCACTTTATAAATTCCCTGTAAATATGAATGAATACTTCTGTTTTCTATCTGGACCTGATATCAGCTCTAGAGCCCAACTTACCTGAGTGATATCAAGGGGGAGAAATTCTAGACTTAAGGCTTAGAATGTTCATGATGCCCATGTCATTGAAGTATCTGCTTTAAAAACTTGAGAATTAGTGTAAATACACAGGGTACAGATGACTAACATTCTAGAGTAAGCTGTCACATGACATGACACATATATGAACATTTCTAAGTAAATGATGCAACTTTTAGTTAATTTGCAATTTATGGTCATTTCAAGTGAATTGATGGAGGGCTGAGAGAAATTTCAGTATATGTTTCAGTCAGGAAAGATCATCAGATAGGACATACTTGTAAGGTCTGAAGATTTTGATTTGAGTGTTTTCTTCCTAATTTGGTTGAAAATTTCTGGAGGACAGAGGCGTATATTTCTTAAAAACTTATTTGTATTTTTACTTCTTTATGTCCTCCAGCACAAATAATATGGACTGATGTACTTGTACATATACTAATTATATATACATATATATTATATTACACTATCGGTAGCAGTATAGCACTTAATTTAAGAGTGTGGGGACCCTGGAGTCAGATTGCATGGGTATGCTCTGCCACTTACTAGATGTTTAAGCCAGCTACTTAATATTTTATGACTCAAATTTCTCCTTAGTAATGGAATAATGTGGATTTGGAAAAAATATTTTAATTCATGTAAAAATACTTAAGACTCATAACCTGTCAAGGGAAATAATAAATATTAGTATAAATTATTAGTATAGTTGGAAAACATTATCTACTTTTCACAAAGGAGGGACTTCTTCGTGTGCATTCTAACTTCTATGAGGTGGCTGAGGCAAGAGTAAAATGGCTGTCGAAAGGGATCAAAGGCAACATTGGTTTGAAGAAAAAGTGGTAAGGGGGAGAAATTCTAGACTTAAGGCTAATAATGTTCATGCTTCCCATTTGTATATCTATTCCTCCTCATCTATAAACTAGGAAGGTTAGAATAGCTGATGTTCTAGAAAACATTCCAGCTTTAACTTTAAATAATTGTATATTCAGTTTCAATGAGCAACAGATTTTGTTTTGATTTCTTAATTGATAACATGGCTGGAGGTAGAAGGATCCATCTATCTCTAGACTACTACGATTCTATGTTTCTTTAGAATGGAGAATTTTTATCACAGCTCTACGTATCTGTTTGGTCTTCACACTGTAGATAATGGGGTTCATTACAGGAGGGATCAGCAGGTAGGTGTTAGCGATCATGGTATGTACATATGGCGGGGCTTCTTTTCCAAATCTGTGCACAAAGGACAGACTGATCAATGGAATATAGAATATAGCCACAGCCCCAATGTGGGAGATGCATGTGCTGAAGGCTTTCCTCCTCTCTTCAGGGGAAGCAATGCTGAGGACAGTCCTAATGATCAAAACATAGGAAAGGAGGATGAGGACTGAGTCCACACCAACAGTAGAAATCATGGCAGTCAATCCAACTGCACTGTTGATCCTGGTGTCTGTGCATGAGAGCTTCATCACATCAGGGTGGAAGCAGTAGGAGTGGTGGAGCACGTGGCTGTTGCAGAAGGACAATCTTTTAAGAAGTGCTACCATTGGTGTCAACATTAGGGTTCCCCTGATGACAATTGCCACTCCAATCTGAGCTATTCTATAGTAGGTTAAAATAGTGGCATACCTAAGGGGATTAGAGATGGCCACAAAACGATCAAAAGCCATAGCCAACAGTACTGAAGATTCCATGACAGTGAAGAGTTTGATAAAGAACATCTGTGACAAGCAGGCATTGAAGCTGATCTCCCTGGTATTGAACCAGAATATGCCCAGCATGGTGACCAGAGTGGATATGGACAGCCCAAGGTCTGTGGTGGACAGCATGGACAGGAAATAATACATGGGTTCGTGGAGACTGGGCTGCGTGACAATGACGAAGAGAATCAGGCTGTTCCCTGAGAGGGCAGTTGCATAGAGAATGCAGAAGGGAATGGAGATCCAGGTGTGGAAGGCTTCCAGCCCAGGAATACCAGTAAGCAGGAAAATGATGGAAGAGGATGTGAAGTTCTGGAAACTTGACATACTGGATTAAAAGTACACAGAACAAGTCTGAAACAAAAAAGCTACATTAGGATTATTTCTAATTATAAATATTCAAACAGAAAACTGACCAAAGATGAATATCTATATAATATATAAAAATATGAATGGATCACTTAAATTGATAAAAATGACATGTAAGATTTCAACCACTGGGGTAGATATCCTAAAAATATTTGCCTCAGCCCACAATTTTCCTTCTCTGGGGCTCTTTGCTGTTAGCTATATTTATCTCATGTGACCTCTCTTCCACTGTTATAGCTGTAGATGACTGGACTAAAAATAGACACTTTATCCTAGATTGCCAAATCATATTTCATTCTTCCTGGGATTTTTTGTAAGAAAGAGGTAGCCATTTAATTTTTTTCTATATAGTTGGCACCAGAGAAAAATAGACTGGGAATGTGGAGTTAATGGTAATTAGCTGTAAGTATGGAAAGCAGAGACACTTACAGACAATATTGGAAGCCAGAAATTATAGATAAAGAGATAATTATTACAGAAAGTAACATATGTGAAATGACAAATAAACAAACTAGAAACTAGGGCAGTCATGCACTTGCCTGCAGCATCCAATCATTAAAGGGGCCCTTACGCCACAGCACCTGCCATCACATTTGGAAGAAACAGAGAGGAAGAACACAGACCTACCACTAGACTTAGAGACAGAGAATGCTGCTCTTCACCTGGCATAATGGGCTGCCACGTTCAAGTATATATCTGTCTTGTTTATGCCTGAAGACTTGTTCTCCAGAACAGATGTTCTCCATTTTGTTAAGACACAGGAGATACCTAATAGAATGTCACTGTTTTGTTTTGAAGGGACAGATACAACTTTGTTGATAACATCACAATTCTTTCTTTATTGAGTAGAGAGTTGGTGACTAGGAAGAGAGATATGTATGTGAGTTTAAAATAGGGACAAATGGGAAAAATAGAGAGATTATGGCTTTGTCTGGAGAAGGTTCAATCAATGAAAGAGCAATTTTAGGATAGGTTCTTCAGAGGGAAAAAAGGTACTGAGCAGCTGACAGCAAGTGTAAGATAAAAAGGGGAATGAAAGGATCCCAAATTTCCAGACCCCAAGAACTCACCCAGAAAAAGTGTTAACTTAAAGATCACCTGAAAAAACTTTATTAAAAAAATGAAAAAAATTAGCTAAAATTATCAGAAAATTAGAGGAAAAAAAGAAGTGTGTTATATAAGCTGACCAAATAAGTAAACTATAAGTTTATGTTCTGATATTGACAGTAATGAGTGTCTTCAGGGGAGTGATGGATGTAATGTCTTAAACGTATAATGGAACTTCACAACAGGAAGAGAATTTAATAACAATGCATTGTTTACTTCAAAGCTACTAGAGATAGGATTTTAACTGTTGTCATCACAAAGAAATAATAAATATTTAAAGTTAAGGATATGCTAATTAGCCTGATTTGACCATTGCAAAAGGTATACATGTATGGAAATACCACATTGTGTCCCATAAATATACACAGTATTATCGGTCAGTTAGAAGTAAAATAATTTTATAAACTAAAAGAGACAAACATAAAGTGAACATTCAATAGGTTTGTAGAATTTGGAGAAGACTTTCTAGAAAAGGTGTTGCTAATAAAATAAAACAGAATCACTGGAGTAGATGAAGGGAATTGAAGGAGACGGAGGAGGGATGGGATAAAGAAAGACAGTGGAATGAATCTGACCTAAGTTTTCTGTGCACACATATGAATATACCACAGCAAATCTCATCATCATGCACATCCACAAGACACTAATTAAAAAACAAAACAAAACTATGTGTAAATAGCAGAAAGATGGATAGAATAGAGGGACGGGAACTGAGGGAGGAGATAGGGAAGAAAAGGGAAGTACTGGGGACTGAATTAGAGCAAATTACATTCCGTGCTTTTGTGATTATGTCAGAATGAATCCTAATGTTATGTATCACTAAAAAGAATCAACCATTTCTGTGTGCTGTCTCAATTGAGGTGAAGAGTTACAAGTCCTTTAGAATGCAATATGTAAAAATGTTGAGCAGGAATGCTCTCATGAAATTTCTTACCTTGATATTCCCTTTCACTCTCAGGACATTTACTGAGTACCTATTTTTGCATAGTGCTGTTAAAAGTTAAGGAACAAAATAAATAAAAATCCCTTAAAGAGTTTATAATCAAGTAAGTGAGAAAGATAAGTACTGCGTCTTAATAACTTCAATATCTAGTGTATAAGATAAATATTAAAATGGTTATGGAAGTACAGAGGACTTTCTGTACATACCAATTAACTCTGGATATCATCACTTTTATTTCATATGCAATGATTGAGTTCCAATTTTCATCATTGAGTTCAAAAATCCTATTAAAAAACACTTTAAAAAATTAAACTGCTACCTGAACAATTTATTTTTCACCCTAACCTTTTAATGGCTCTCTTTATATTGTTTCAATAATTCATTATTTGTTGCCCATTTCATTCTTTTTCCTTCCTTTTCTTGCTGAGAGATCATAAACCAAACCTGACACCAAACCACAGAGCACAGTTTGATCTGGTCTGTCTTCAAGTCCTCTCTTTTTCATGGCTCTTCAACCATATCTTCCTGCATTCTGTCCTCATCCATGCTGGGTTCAGAGACAGGTGATTGATTGCATGTTCCTTCTCACGGCCAATAGCTCTACTTAGCCTCCTATCATAAATGTTAGTTCAGTTCAATAGCAAACACACATTGGGCATCCACTGAATCTTGTGTCAGCCACTAAAAAGAGGAAGCAAGTGAAATAACAGAGGTTTTGTGCCCATGGAAGCCATGGCGTTTGTCAAGGGCTGAAAAACCCAGGCTTAGAAGGGTGAATTATATTATTATTATTATTATATCTTCTTATAATATCTTATTATGTTTATTAAGAATCTGGTGATTATTATAAAAATGAAAATTGATTTTGAACACCTGCTGCATGTCAGACACGGTATTAGGGACAGTGCTTTTCAAAGGAATAAGAGACAAAGAAAGAAAGTCACTAGCTATAGATTGCACAAAGATATCAGATATCTGAGAGATAAGGCCTGGAAATTGTGTGGAGTGACAGATTCGGAGTATGTATGTCTACTTCTGTGTGTCAAGAAGAATAAGTTCCAAGAAATCTGAACAGAGTAGATGAATTGTAACTGTGTAAAGTTTTGATGGGTGTATGTGAATTTACAAGGATGAGCAACAGGAAAAGGGTGTTTTTGACGTAGATAACAGGAGCATAGGTAACATGAGATATGAAGGAAAAATAATAGTTATCAGTTTATCATATAACTGCAAGAAAATTAACATGATGGAAACTTAAGCGTGAGGCAGGGTGCTGTGGGTGATGAAGCTAGAGGAATCATCAGGGTCAGGTCATACAACTTGAATTCTGAGGGAAGGAAGAAGGACTTTGATTTTAGTTGCACAACATCAAACACCAGGCATTTCCAAATATTTTATGAATAAATAAGCAAATCATTCTCCATCTCTTCTAATTTAACTCCAACAAAATTCCTTTCCTTCTTTAGTATTTTGTTTGCTACCATTGATTCCTTTTCTGCAGTCTCCAATACTCAAGTTTTGTCCCAACTCAAAAATGAAAGCTTCCTACACTGTAGTATAGATATTTTCCACACATTCAATTTGATCAGTATATATTGAATAGCCTCATTATTGACCTCTGTGCTTAGATAGCAAAGAATATAAAACACAAATCTTCTTTCTTCTTTGCATTTTTATAATGCTAAAAAGTTATTTGAAGAACAGTCTGCTTTTGTTCATTATTCCTTCACCTTCAGTAACAGAATGTTTTTCTCTAATAACTCTCAGAGACTCCCCCAACTGATGTCACTGATGATTTTATAAATACCAAGTATAATAGTTTATTTTCAGATTTGTTTTTCTTTCCATCATCTCAAATTTTGGCAACGGGGATTATCTCTTCCTTGAAATTTTCTCCTTCAGTGGCTTCAATGCCAGTTGTTCTGGCATTTTTCCTATTTATCAAGCAATGTTTTTGTTCTGTCTCACAAATTGTGGCATCCTTAAAGGGTGCTTTTCTTCCAAGAAGTTCCTCTTCTTTCTCTCCATACAATGTCCTTAGAATATCCTAGTTATTTCCATGGCTTTAAACAGACCTTGCATCCAGATAATTCACAAGTCTGCAATCTAATTATAGCATATCCTGAGATCTATGCTTCAAAAGTTAGCAGACTGTTGTGGCAACATGTCTGGGCTTAAACTGAAGGCAGTAATGAAAAGTGAAAGCAGGCAATCAAATCTTCCAATTAGAGAAATTCTGGCAGCAGTTTGGAGGAAAAAAAATCAGAACTCCTGCTTTTAGTAAATAAAAAGTGAATGAAGTACTTTACCTCTGAGGGACATCCCCATCCATCCACAAACCCTCATGTACTTCACCTTCAATGCAAGCCAAACAGAAATCATTCTCTGCCCCATTCTAAACCCAGCTCTTTCTTCTGTTACATTTTTCAGCAAATGTCATGAAGCTCTAGTAATCATCTAATTAGAATTAGTCTCCACCCACAACATATACACATTCTCTTCCTATTTCTTTCTGTCTCTCATGCCCTACATACAAATATTCATTAATTTATACTGATTCTACTTCCGAAAGGTCAAAAACTGGAGCCTCAGGAGGTCTATATGTAAACACCAAGTCTAGGAAACTGTGGCAAACTGTTGCTGGTATATTTGTTGTATTTCATTGCAATTTTCTTACTTTGAGAAAATAAAGTTGTATTTCATTTCAGTTTTTTTACTTTGGTTAAACAAACAAACAAACCCCAAACTGCTCATAGTAGAGAATAAAAAGGGATTGATGAATATTCATTGAGGGAAGCACTATACTTCTCCCAAGCTACCTTTTTTTTTTTTAAATTCCATCACTCTCAAATCTGACTCATTTTCTCCAATCCACATACACTGAAATTCTCTTTTGTGTGAAATAAGCTATATTCTCTCAACTAATTTTCCTATTCGGATCTCAAAGACACTCTTTTCTCATTGCACTGTTAAGCGCTGTAGCTTGTGGCTGTCTTTAGCTGCTAAGTTAGACCATATGGCCTCATCAGTATTCTCTAAAACATCACTGATGGCATGGTTATAGTGTATGACAGTTATAGTGTATAGCTCGTTGCTCAAATACTGACAGGTTTTGAGACCTTGTGTAGTAATACAAATCTACATTTTTTTTGACACTTGGTCAGCAAACATTATTGTGCTTTATAAGATTCTTTTAATTTGTACTAGAACACATATGGCAACTATTAATAGATTCACTTTAAACTCACTTTTCTGATAAATAAACTGAATTTAAGAGCACTGATAAAAACATATTCAGGATCACACACAACTGGTGAATGTCAGAGCTGGGATTTTTAACTCAGTGCTTTTTAATTCCAATGTTTTCAGGAAAGTTTATTTCACTGATGCCTACAAAAAATGTAAACATCCTTTGATTTAGTTTCTTCATCTATAAGATAGGATAGATACTATGCGTAACAGGTTTCTGGCATGCAGAAGGTATTCCAAACTGCTAATTTTAAAGGTTTAGTAAAAGGCATTGGGCTTAGGAATGAGGCTCACTAATCATGGTAAATGTAATAGTGCACTAATTAAATTATCTAACAACAGTATCCAAGCCCTGCCAGGCAGAACAAATTGTCCATTTTCTGCAGATTTCCTGGGAATAAATAACTCTATAAATTGTATCATCTTCTTAATCCCACCAACCTATTATCTGATCTAATTCTGCCCATTGTGATAAAATTCTTCCCTGTGGATAAGAAGGGGCATCTCACCTAGAGTCAGGCATGCTCACTGAACAGTTACTCACAGAGCACATCCAGCAGTTCTGCTGTCCTCTCAGTCTGACTCAGATGCTGGAGGAAGCTTCAGATTCCAGACGATGACTGAACTTATGAGACTTATTTCAGCTTGGTTGGAGAAAGGCATAGAGCTGAGAGGCCAGTTCCCATTGGTGGTGCTAATTCACCGTGTCTCTGGGTTATGGGTTCCCAGAGGACTTGCTTGATACAGCTTTTTTATATTTGTTCCATTATGCAATTATTTATTGTAGCTTCATGATTTATGGGCCGGTATAACTCTTTTTGTACTGGGAATTGAACTCAGGGGCATTTGGCCACTGAGCCACAGTCCCAGCCCCATTTTATATTTTATTTAGTGACAGGGTCTCACTGAGTTGCTTACTGCCTGGCTTTTTGCTGAGTCTGGCTTTGGGCTTGTGATCCTCTGGACTTACCTTCCCGAACTGCTGGGATTATAGGCCTGGCTAATGATGTAACTCTTCTGTTGTGCCATTTTATTTAAAAAAAGTTTTCCTTAACAGCTTTATTGAGATCTAATTAATATGCTGTAAAATTCATCCATTTATAGTGTATATTTTAAAAGATTTTAGCAAAGTCACAGACTTATGCAGCAATCACCTTCACAATATAATTTTGGAAAAAATTTTAACAACCCCCAAAAGAAACCCCATCATTATTAGCAGTCCTTTAAAAGGGGATGACTTTAAAATATGAAATTTATACCAAATTGCTTAAAGGCATCTCCTATCACGAGTGTGAGTAATACTGTCCCCCATAACTCCTTACCATCTGTCATATTCACAGTAGTACTGGTTCGTTAGTGTGGTATTCTTTTGTTACCTGTAATTTTTTTATAGTGGCAGCAATCTTTTACAACTAGGAACAATAATTCATTTATTCATGCATGCATATATCCATAGGTATTTTATAAGAGTGTTTTATTATTATAGTTTGAATATGAGGTGTCCCCCAAAAGCTCATATATTAGACAAAGCAGGAATTTTCAGAGGTGAAGTGATTAGGTTGTGAGAGTCTTAACTGAGTCAGTGGATTAATCCACTAACATGGATTAATTGAGTGGTAACTGTGGGAAGGTGGAGGTAATTGGAGGATGTGGGTCACTAGGGGTTTATATTTTGTCCCTGGTGAGGGGAGCTCTCTCTGCTTCCTAAATGCCATGTGATGAGCTGCTTTCCTCCTCCATACCCTTCTGCCATGATGTTCTGCCTCATCTTGGGTTCAGAGCAATGAAGTCATCAGTCTGTGGTCTGAGACCTCTGAAATTACTCACACCAAATAAACTTTTCCCCTGCTAAAATTGTTATTGTCAGGTTTTTGGTCAGAGTGATGAAAAACTAACTTATATTAAAAAATATATTAAAACATATATTAAAAAACACTTATATTCCAAACATCTTGGTAAATGCTAGAGATTTAAAAAAAAAGAATACAACATACCTCTTACTGTCCAGGGTTTTAGTGTTAAATATGATCAACCAATGAGTATGTGTTAACCAATGACAGGGCTCTCTTAGAGGCATAAAGCAAGTGCTTGATGAATACCATGGGTCAAAATCTCAGCCCACAACTTAGGGGCACAGAAAATATTGTTTTATTTAATTTTTCTTGATTTGATCTATTTTCTATTTTGAAGTTCCAATCCCTTAGGTAGAAGAAAATTAATCATAATAATGCGGGGTTCTCCCAAATTATTGTGTTCAGTTTTTGAGAATGTTGTATTGTACCAAGGATTTGCTGTTATTTGGCCAGAGATGTCATCTGATATGAGGTAACTCTTGATCTCTGTGTTAGTCAGCTTTGCATCACTTTGCCCCAAAGAAGAACAGCTTGGCTCATGGCTTCAGAGGTCTCAGCTCATAATTGCCAGCTCCACTGCTCTGGGCCTGAGGTGGGGCCAAACTTCAGGTAGAAGTGTGGCCAAGGAAATCTGCTCAGCTCATGATAGCCAGGAAGGACAGAGAAGGAGATGGAGAGAGATAGGGACAAGGAGCGGGAAGAAGGGGCCAGGGAGAAGATAAATCCTTCCAGGGCATGCCCCCAGTGACTAGCTTCAACTAGGTCTATCCAATTATCAATGGATTACTATATTAATTGATGAGGTCACAGCCCTCATGATCCAATCATTACCTAAAAATCTCCCTTTGAACCTTGCTGCATTGGGGCCCAAGACTTCAATATAAGCTTTTCTAGATCCAAACCATAACACCCTCATTAGTCTTTAGTAAATTGTACCCATAGATTGCTATGTATTATCTAGTCTTCATTTTTATTTCTGGCCTTTTTAAATCCTCAGATATTTCCAGCATTTCTACACCCCTCTTGGGCCTGGGGATCTTTGAGTCACACTTGATTTCTGTCTGTTACATCCTGTGTCCAATCTATTGGCAAGTCTTATCAGCCTCCTGGAAAATACAATAAGAATTTGATCATTCTTCATGATGTCCAAAATTTCCACCTTTATCAAGTAAAAAATTTTCTCTTATTCATGTAATTTCAGTAGTTTCCTTATTTTGTTTCCATTCTGATCTCATTTGCCTCACACTAAGTCTGTTGCACTGAATATATAGTACAAAAAAATGTCTTGCCCTGAGGTATTTTATTCTTTACAAAGTAACAAAAAAGAAACAATATCAATCATATTGTATTGTGTATTTTATGTCCAAGTTACTATGCCGAGAGTTTGTGGTAGGCAAAATTATTAGATAGGCAAAAATATTTATTGTTTATTGGAGCAAAATGCTGAGACTCAATAAGATTTATTGCAAGTCCCTACAGCACAGTTTTCTTGTGTTGAATTCTGTCCTTCCTGTTTGGATTACTAAGTTTGGGAAACATTACTTTGAAGTCCAATGAAGTCACAGACTATGATGCGTTTTCCAGATTCAATGGTATTATATTGATATATCCAAGATGTCCACATCCTGAACCTGGAATATGTTAACTTATATGGAAAAAGGGACTTCATAGATGTGATTAAAATTAAAGACTTCAAGATTAGTTGGAGAGATTAGTTGGGCTGTGTGTTTCTTCATTCTAGACACATGAATCCTTAAAATTGGAGAACCAGAGAGATGTCAGTGTGAGAAGGACTTGATTCACTGCTGCTAGATTTGGAAGTGGCAAAAGGAGGCCACAAGTCAAGAAATGTGGATAATCTCCAAAAAGACAAATGACAAAGGATTTGTCATTTGTCAATTTTCCCTAGATCCTCTATAAATAAATGAAAATTGCTGGTACCTTGATTTTAGCTCAGTGAGATCCATATCAATTTCTGACCTATACAACTCTAAGATCAATTTGATAGGAAAAATCCACTGTTAGTTTGATTTATGCAGTATCCAAGAATTAGAGAGTTTAAGTAACTTACTTAGGTCTCTCAGTGAGTGGCATAACCAGTATTCAAAGCCTCAGATATTGGACAGCCTTTCAATATTCAAAATTCATTGTTTAAAGTCTTCATATGATGTCCATTCAGCAATACTTCCAAATTTAAGTCACTTAAACTCAATAGCATGCATGCATGCTTATGTGGCAGATTGGATGTTAACAGTCATCACTTGTGTATGCTTAAACTTTTTACATAATGGAGTTTTTCTCCACTATTGTGTCTCCAGACAGTATATTTCTTGAGATCTTTGAAAAACTCTCCTCTGGCAGATTGGGCAAATTCTACCACCCATCTCAGAAACTATTTGAGAATGGTCTCATTTATTTTTTCCCCAGATTAAAGGATATTATTCTTCTCTCAGAGCAATTGTAAGAATAGTAGTTGTATGTATATTCTGTTTTGATCTTTGCACACGTACACAAAACTGGTGTGTATATTGGTCAAAGTACTCATACCTACCTACATTGGTCCATATTCTTCAAATTATGGCCTTTTATTTGCAGATAAATGGATGGAATTGGAGAATATCATGCTAAGCAAAATAAACCAATCCCCAAATCCAAAGGCCAAACGTTTTCTCTGATATGTGGATGCTGATCCATAATGGGGGGGCGGGTGTGCAAGGGAAAAATGGAGGACCTTTGGGCAGAGGGGAGTGATGGGAGGGGAAGCGGTATGAGGAAGAAGTATGGTGAAATGAGTTGGACATTGTTGCCCCATGTACACGTATGATTTATTAGTGGTGTGATTTTGTGTCATGTACAAGCAAAGACATGAAAAGTTTTGCTCCATTTGTGTACAACGAGTCTAACTGCATTCTACTGTCATGTATAACTAATTAGAACAAATAATTTAAAAAATGGCCTTTAAAATTGGGGATGAATCTTAGATTATAGAATGCTTGCCTTGCATGCACAAAGCCTTGAGTTCAGTCCCCATCAGTCCAGCAATATATGTGTGTATATGTGTGTGTGTGTATGTGTGTATACATACATATATATGATATATAAGATACAATAAATATATAAATATATTTATATATAATATACACAATATATATCAATATAATATATATATTTTGTTATCCTACTTTCCTGTCAGCTTAGCAAAACTATCACTGGCAATTTTATTACACTAGGAGTCTAAGCAAAATGTTTCTCAAAAAATTACATAAAGACATTTGTTATTAATATGTCAATATCTATATATTGAATCTGGAAAACACATCATAGTCTATGACATTATTGGACTTCAGAGTAATGTTTCCCAAACTTGGTAATCCAACCAGGAAGGGCAGAATTTGACACAAGAAAACTGTGTTGTAAGGACTTGCAATAAATCTTATTTAGTGTCAGCATTTTGCTGTAGTATACAGCAAAATATTTTTGCCTATCCAATCAGCAAATAGTTTTAAAAACTTAGTGTTGTGTCGCTGTGCTATGGTGGACTAAGTATTATTTTACAATATTTGCATAAACTTTATGGAAGTAGAGTTTCCAGCATATTATTGTCTTAAAATGTTCATAAGTTTCCATTTCTAAAAATTTATTGAAGGGAAAATAACAGAGTGAGTCCACATTTTATGCACAGGAACATTTATTGCAGTATTATTTTTACACTAGTAAAAATATGGGTTAAAATTATCAATGATTATGGAATACATAAGGTATATTTAT